CTACCATTAATACCGTCATTCAATTCAATTCAATTTTATTTATATAGTGCCACACATGGTGAAAAAAAAATCTTGGTGGGGCTGGTGTGCCAATAGATTTCCCTGCCTAACCCAATACACATAATCAAGTTAAAAGTTGGAAAATGACTACAATTCCACAATAAGCGTTTAATTCCCTTATCAGCATAAGCAGTTTACATATACAGTAAACCATTTAAAGCTATATTAGTTATTATTTTGGAAAGGAACAGTATGAAATACAACATTCAATTTCACTATTAGTCACCAAACACACAAAGTAGGCTCACAGGTGGTTAGCTTAACACGGTTAGCTTGACACAATTTTCCATATGAACTCGTGATATTTCATGTTTCTTAATGGTTCAGAGAGGTCTTATAAGTCTGTCTGTCCAAACTGTGTCCACGTCAAATCACTCCGGTCGCTTTTAAGAAGGAATGTGGGAAAATCAAAAAGTGCATGGCCGTCTCACAGGCTATCAGCCAGGACTTACGCTGGAACCAGCTCCAAAAGGCCGGCTGTAGGACTTAGCTTTTTCATATGTTCACTGCGTTAAATTTATTTCGGGCTGTCAGGTCCCAGCTCCTTTACATGGATTTTTTCCACCATTGTACTTCTCACGAAAGGGGAACTCAGTAAAGATCTCTCTGAATTATGTGAAAGCTGCTCTTCAACTGTTGTCATCGCAGTCATCTCTAAGTCACAGCCTGACTGACCACTAGCTATATGTCTATGGTAGAAGGGGCGCCAGTTCCAGATGACATTGGAATGTGGTGACAAAGTGTGTGCATGTTGACCTAACGACGTGTGTCTAATGCAACAGAGAGAGAAAAAGAGAGAAATTTAACACAAAAGTATGGTTCTAAAAGGAATAAGACAATCAGTAATTTACAAAGATTATGTTATAGCATACAAAGCTAAAGTGATTAATTATAGACAAATTCTAACAGCACAAACTAAGATAATGATTTGAAATAGAAGGTAGGGATCATCCTTTTTAGAGCCACATTAAGTATTTCTATCTTTAACACATTTTTGTCCAT